ACAATCTGTTTTTCAATGGAGTCTGACACTTTACTATAATTTTATGGTTTTCCCCTCACATTTATCCTATTTGCAAAGTCTTAATCATTAGTGATTGTTCTTATGTCAACAATGTTTTTTGTTATAATTCTCCATCGTTGGACGCACGTGCAGATGATGTACTACGATTTCTGCGCGTGCTGTATGCGTTTCTACACTGTCTTGTTCTCTCTCCGTAGGATTAATCTAAAGCGACTTTACCGTAGTAATTGGCATGTTTATCTATTCATTTCATTAATTGTCTGAGTTACATTAATTTGCTTTAACAGGTACGAACAGCAGTCGGATAATCTGCGACAGCAAGCGTTCAACATGGAGCAGGCCAATTTTGCGTGTCAGACTCTTAAAGATACGCATGCCACGGTTGCTGCCATGAAGACTGGAGTCAAGCAGATGCAGAAGGAATTCAAGAAAATCAATATTGATGACATTGAGGTATAATTTCAGTGATACGGTATTCGCGGTTTCTTCTTTACTTCGTTCGCTTCTGTATTTGAATTGTCGAATCTGTTGGCGTGTATCCGCCTCCGAGTTATGTACTCTGGTGTTTGTATGCGTTCTTTACATACATAATCATGCAAGGGCAGGTTACGTCCATCTGCTTGCCCACGTGTTTTACCTCCAATATTATCAGATTATAAAGTTCGTAGAAGTGGCTTATTCTATGTGCCTTTGCCCCCTTCTTTTAGCATGTGCCATGAAGAGAACATTCCGTCAGATAACATTGGTTAAGCTTGATCCTGACCAGCGTCTGAGCATAGAATATTTGTACAGATCATAAAATAACCTCCTGCCAAAATCTGTACTTTTTATTGTGAAATTTTTTTTATATGTATATTTTACAACATATAATTATGGATATCCTTAATCCTGATGGCTCTGTCAACCCAAGATTTGTATCTGCAGTAAATAAACATATTAAGGTTACATTATTGCATGGGATGCGTTAGAGATTTTGTAAAGCGAGAGCCTTGTCTTTCATGTATGTCAGAATTTGTCTTGCCTTAAAAGTTAATTTGGCTTTTCAGAAAATAAGTATTTCCTCCTTTCTTGTCAAGTTTATTCATGTAAGTTCTAAAAATAAATTGGTCCAATTAGACTGAAGAGATGGTCATATCCTTGCGATATGTCGGCTTTACAATGACACTGAAATATTAAGAATTGACGTGGTATGTCTTTGGATAGATGGGAAGATTAAATTATAGTCGATTTTAAAGTATTGCGTGGACTAGATTCATCTGGTTTATGATGATGATTTGTGAACTCATTGAATCCTCAGGATCTACAAAGTAGGGTATTTACTATTTGAGTAACTTGACTTTTCAGAAAAGACCAACATCAGTTAATTACATACGTGTGTATGAGATGGAGGGAATTGACTGTTTTAATTAAGTTTCTTACTTGTAATCCTGGGGTCTCGGGTTCGATTCCCGGCGGTGCCCGAATTTATAACTTGTGTTGGGCAAGGCCGTGGTCTAGGCAACACGGAGTTTTCCTCCATGGCATCCCAACAATTACTCCATTCACACACAGAAGAAGGCAATGGCAAACCACTTCTGGATCATCTGCCAAGAACGTATATGAACAGGTCCCAGTCCGAGAAAAGGATGGAAGGATCCTGTTCATATGGACCTGTCGTCACACAGAACACTAAATAAATAAATAAATGAAACTTTCATTTTGATGTGTAGAGTCCATTGCGCTTAATAGAATAAGCATATTGAAATAATTTATCTTCTTATTCTTAACCTTGTATAGGGCGTATATATTTGTAACACTGTGTTCAAAAAATGACTTGTATTACCACAAGCGTTATGTAATTTTTGAAACTGTGGTACAGTGTGCTAAAAAATTCTGCCACTCAGAATTTATCTATTTTCTGTAATATTTCAAAGCATGAACTAAAAAAGTGGGAACAAAATAGGAAAGGGATGTAAACTACAGGATATTCCATAAGTCCAGCATCATAGGAAAAATTCTAAAAAAAAAGGGCAAATTAAAAGATTTTTTTCACGGAACTTGCTCAGTATGCCCACAATTGTTCTCAATACACAAATTCAGACGTGATAACCGGTCAGAAAACACACGGTGAATGATGTTGGGAGTAATGGTGCAATAATGCTCTACCATCACATCATCTTCATCAGTGGATCTTCTTGAAGGTCCACTGCGTTGTTTATCTTCTATGGATCCTGTTTCCTTAAACTTTGCAACAAGTCTACTAACTCAACTCTGTCTTATTTGCTCGCGATCTGGACGCAGTCTGTTAAATTCAGCCGTGGCCTCTCTTTTACTACAATTTCCTATGAGCAGAATTATTTGGATTCATTCTTCCTAGCTCAGACGCATTATGGCCTGTAGAAATAGAAAAATATTAATTATGGTTTGTAGAAATAGAAAATTATGAATTTTTCCTATGATGTCCGACTTACGGGACACCTGCATACTGAACTAATCTGGCCATGAGGTTAAAGTCCTGTTTTATGAGGACTGAATTTAAAACGTGGGGCACGGTATTTGTCATGACTATCGTTCATTTTCTAGGATATGCAAGATGAAATGGCTGACATGTTGGATCAAGCTGATGAGGTACAAGATGCTCTTGGAAGAAGTTATGGTACTCCGGAGATTGATGAAGATGAATTAGAGGCAGAACTGGATGCTCTGGGTGATGAAATTGCTCTTGATGATGACACTTCTTATCTGGATGACGCTGTTAAAGCTCCCAGTGCACCTGAGAAGGAACCGGGAGCTGATTCCACAATGAATAAGGTTCAGTATGATAGAAAGTCAAATTATGTGTTCGTTTCCAAACCTTCATGTGTAAAATTCTTGTATTTTAAAAGTTTTTTTTTGGGATGTGACCAATGGATCTACTCTTCTGCAGGCATTGGAGTGATACATGTATCCAAAATTACACAGTGGGTGGTTAGGATCTCCTCTGGGCCCAGTAGCTTTTATAGATGGAATTATAGCCTGTGGGATCTACCCCGCGTCATTGCCATCGGATGGTACAATCCCAACAATCTAAAGGGTCAGCAGCGTTGTCTTGTACTTCTCAGCGCCTTCCATATCATTCAACTTCTTCTTAGTCTCCGATGTCGTGATATTAACCTTGTCTTTGTTTTCTGGGCAGTCTTCAATTCTGCCGAGTCTGCTTTCATTTCCTTGTTTTGCCTCCAAAATTGCGGTCATTGCCTTTTATCAGGAGAAAATATTGATTACCGCATTGGTGACAGTGTCTCCGTCTTTGTGCTGGCACTCGCTCCAGTTACACATTCTTACTGAATTCCGTGAAGATGTTATCATGTGCTCTGCTGTAGACCATTTACAGATATGTCCTATTATTGGTATTTAACCATATCTGCTGCCCGATATGAAAAATGTTTTATCTTGTCCGGGGGTACGCGAAGACATCTTAGGGGGTACGTGAAATTTAAAAAAAATATATGTTATTTTATGATAAACACTGAATAATCAGTAATGTAATTTATTTAATTTATTTTAGATGTAGATTATATACTACGTATAACTTGAATTATACACCAACAACTTTGGGGGTAACAAAGTTGAAGAGAAATTATATCTGGGGGTACGCGAACAAAAAAAGGTTGAATACCACTGTTCTAGGCGGTCACTAATATTTCTAATGGTGACCACCTTCAAGATTAAATTGCATGATGATGCAGAAGATCACAGTCCACATATATACCGCCATTAAAACATCAAATCTAAGTCATACAGTGTTTTTAATGAATAATTAAGCATCTGTTTGTTCAAGATTTAATCTGTATGAGATTAATACTTGAAAAGGTACATTGAAAGGTACCTCACCATTTCCTCCATTAAACTGTAATTCTTTATTCAAGTTTAATAACTCCAGTAGTTGATAAAATATCACCAAAAAGTAATAACGTAAATGTCGCATACTGTGTTACAGGATGGCGTATTGGTCGATGAGTTTGGTCTGCCGCAGATTCCAGCCTCATAAAAGTGCTTTACTCTGTGCGCACTTTGTAAATTTCCCTGGTACATTTAAGTCTGAAAGCTAGTTGAACGAAAGAGCTAATTTAAAATAAATTTACGATCTTGTTCCTTCGGTAAGTATGAATGAAACGTCAGGTCCTACTTCTTAGGAGAAATTCCGTATAAAATATAAATTGCTTTCGTCTGTCCATTAACTGAAGAGCCTTACACGGCTGTCTGATCGCTGTGACACGACGTAGAATATGTAGCGCGTAGATTATAGGAGATCATGTGCCTATTTTGCTTATTGTTTATGCGTATATTGCCGTCAACAGTTTCTTATCGCAAATAATTTTCTTCGTGCTCCTTTTAGTTAAATACGAGGTAGTATTTTCAGTTTGTCAGGATGACGGTGATGAAACCACGTCGAGACTCGCTCGTCAGCAACAGGACTAGACATGGTGCAATAGTTCAAAGTATCAGGATTGGTCCCGTGGGATAGGAAACTGTCTCAACGTCTTTTAAGCTAAGGAATGTAGGACTTACATACAAGGGGTCGTGTTACTGGCCGCAACACAAATTTTTCTGTGACTGAATGTATTACATTTGTCTGGAAGAATGTTATTCCAGGAACCGTGACAACGTGAAGACCAGGGACGTTTGCCGTGTACTTTTAACGAAGATTGCGTTTCTCTTGGTATTACATCTCATCTTCCTGTATAAAATATGCTTCAAAGAAAATTTGTTTATGTAACATGTATTTTCATTTTCATTTTGTTAAATATATTACAGTAATAAATTTTATGAGATTTGACAGCGTGTTGGAAAGACGTGCTTTGAAGTAATGTTTGTGAGGGACCCTGATGTTGTTATAGTATTTTAAGACAAAGTTTTAAATTATAAATGATTTATTTACAACATATGTTGCTTATTATGAGGTTTTTATATTAGATTATTGTTCAGAATGTTCTGAATCTTAGTGCTCCAGACATGGTCGCATATGATTGGCTGATGGACTGCATGCGGTTTGCCTGCAAGAAATTCTTCTGTTTCTCATTTTAATCCTTGAATTAATCCTTATTAATCCTGTCCTTTCTTTCAATTGCAAACAACACGGGCTCTGTATGCTGTTCATTTACGTATTACAGTACAGTTTTACCTTACACGGTGGTCTAGCGGTTAGAACGCTGGCCTTGTAATCCTGGGGTCTCGGGCTCGAATTTATAACTTGTGTTGGGCAAGGCCGTGGTCTAGGCAACACGGAGTTTTCCTCCGTGGCATCCCAACAATTACTCCATTCACACACAGAAGAAGGCAAGGGCAAACCACTTCTGGATCATCTGCCAAGAACATATATGAACAGGTCCCAGTCCGAGAAAAGGAAGGAAGGATCCTGTTCATATGGACCTGTCATCAGACAGAACACTACAAATAAAAAAAAAAAACTGTGCATGTAGAACGCATCCTTTAGGTACAACTAAGATGGACGGAAGACATGTCAGATTAAAGAAACACGCAAGAGTTACAACACTGTTATAGAAATATATCGAACGAACAATATGACCTATAGAAGACACACTCCCATACGTAGGCATGTTACATCATTAGTAATTACTTAGGAAACACGCAATGCATTTATAAGTATCTAAAATTATGCGCTATACTGAAACCATGTTTATTACATAGATGCTATCTTCTGAGTTGTCGTTTTGTGTAGCCTGGTAGAAGTTTACCGACGTGTCAGAGATTTTTGCAGCCTCATTGCCTTGATGATGAAGGCAGAGAGTACCTCCGAAACGTCTATAAAACTTCGCTATGTCAAAAGATTTAATTGTGAAAAGTACAAAGTACAGTTTTACTCCACAATAGGCAGGGAGAGTCCCGGTGTCCTTCGTGAGCGAGGGTGAAGCGGAAATATCAAACTGGATGTTTGTGTGTCGCTGTCCTATGTTACGGCGAAGCGGTCAGCGGCCAAAGTCCGAGATCAGATATTTTGATATTTTCGCGCAGGTCGCTGCGCTGGCCAGTAAGGCGCATGCGCAAGGAAGCTCTGACTGTGCAGTACAGGGAAGGGGCATGCTCAGGAAGGCCGTGTGTTTCTATTGCGGTCTCTCACTGAGGACACAACAAGCGATTCCCTTATGTCATATGACAGCCCTCGCTGCTTATGCAGCTCGCCTGTTATCGCTTACGTAGGACATTATAGTAATGATAACGGTGTTAGAGCAGTGAACTTCGCTATGTCAAAAGATTTAATTGTGAAAAGTACAAAATTTCCACACCGTGATGTTCATAAATACACTTGGACTTCTCCAGATGGCAGCACACGCAATCAAATAGATCATGTTTTAGTAGATAATAAAAGGCACACGAATATAACACTAGACAACAAATCGGAAATGAAACTAATCAATTCTTGTGTATTTTCGTCCGCTAAATTCGAAAATGCCCTCGCTGCTTATGCAGCTCGCCTGTTATCGCTTACGTAGGACATTATAGTAATGATAACGGTGTTAGAGCAGTGAACTTCGCTATGTCAAAAGATTTAATTGTGAAAAGTACAAAATTTCCACACCGTGATGTTCATAAATACACTTGGACTTCTCCAGATGGCAGCACACGCAATCAAATAGATCATGTTTTAGTAGATAATAAAAGGCACACGAATATAACACTAGACAACAAATCGGAAATGAAACTAATCAATTCTTGTGTATTTTCGTCCGCTAAATTCGAAAATGACAATAAGAAAGCTTAGTTAGTTCGCGTTTTGAAGATATTTTGTACTTTGTAATATATCACCAATAAATTCGTCAATATGATATTGTGACGTGTTGCCGTGAGAGCAGCACAACAATGTCAAACAGTTTAGTTGTCTGTTTAATGCCATTGTTGCGTTTGACATTGTTGCATTCGTTTATAATTGTTGCGTCTGGTTAATGTCATTGTTGCGTTTGGCATTGTTGCATTCGTTTATAATTGTTGCGTCTGTTTAATGCCATTGTTGCGTTTGTCATTGTTGCATTCGTTTATAATTGTTGCGTCTGTTTAATGCCATTGTTGCGTTTGTCATTGTTGCATTCGTTTATAATTGTTGCGTCTGTTTAATGCCATTGTTGCGTTTGTCATTGTTGCATTCGTTTATAATTGTTGCGTCCTTTTAATGCCATTGTTGCGTTTGTCATTGTTGCATTTGTTTATAATTGTTGCGTCCGCTTAATGTCATTGTTGCGTTTG